ATTGATACTAGTCGCACAACTTTTAAGGCAGGTATCGCCAATGTGCAGGTATGTTGAATGCATCTATCGGAGCAGTTTCCTTATAAATGTTAAAAATAATGATTTTGATGCGCATTTTGGGGTAGGTATCTTAAATGTGCAGTTAAGCATAGAGGCAGCAAAGCAAAACATACTGTACATATGTATGCCTGCAGTTTTTGTGTAGAACTCTTACATTTCAGCTTTTTATATTATGTGAAGCCATTTACTGGACGGAAAACTTTGCAATTAAAATTTTCTTCTGTAAAAAAATTGATTTTATATACATTTTCAACGCGGTCCAGCTCACGATAAACCGCGAGTTGAGCCAAAATATTTTGATGGATGTCATGAAATAGATAAAATTTTAGAATTTCAATGGCAAAACCTAATTTTTACGTGCACATGTATTTATGTGTAGTAGACTGTCCCAAGAATATATGGAAAAAATTTGTTTGCAAATTTTGATATACATGACCTTTATATTTGTACTTTTTAGCAGGGACCGAAAATAATCGTTATAATGAAGGATTTTTATTTAAAAATCATTGTATAACGGTTATTTTATGATTTATACTTTTTCAATCAAAAATAAACGTTATTCTTTGATTTTTATTTTATTCAATCATTTTTAATCGTTACTTTATGATTTTTATATTTTCGATCAAAAATAATCGTTATTTTATGATTTTTATTTTTTCGATCATTTTTAATCGTTATTTCGTGATTTTTATTTTCTCGATCATCTTTAATCGTTATGTTATAATTTTTATTTTTTCGATCATTTTTAATCGTTACTTTATGATTTATTTTTTTTAACATTTTTAATCGTTATACTATGATTTTAATTTTTTCAATCAAAAATAGAAGTTATTCTTAGTTTTTTAATGTGTAAACTGAATATGCACAGATTTGACTTAAAAAAAAAAGTTTTACAAGGCATGCTTATGTACACAGTAAAGTCGGAATTGTAATGCTCTCACCCCATGGGATTGTTCTATATCGAAAAAAGTATA